TGAGTGGGAGGAAAGTAGAACTTGATGAGGTAATTGTACCTGCTCCCTTATTGGAAAGTAGTTCATCACATAAACTGGTTCCTGTGACGCCTACACCAATTAGTGAGGAAGCTAATGATATTGATCATGATACTTCAGATCAAGTTACTACCGAACCTCGTAGATCAACCAGAGTAAGATCCGCACTAGAGTGGTACAGTAATCCTATTCTGGAAGTAATGTTACTTGACCATGGCGAACCTACGAACTATGAAGAAGCGATGGTGAGCCCAGATTCCGCAAAATGGCTTGAGGCCATGAAATCTGAGATGGGATCCATGTATGAGAACAAAGTGTGGACTTTGGTTGACTTGCCCGATGATCGGCAAGCCATAGAGAATAAATGGATTTTAAGAAGAAGACTGACGCTGACAGAAATGTTACTGTCTACAAAGCTCCTTGTTGCAAAAGGTTTTCGACAAGTTCAAGGGGTTGACTACGATGAGACTTTCTCACCCTAGCGATGCTTAAGTCTGTCCGAATCATGTTAGCAATTGCCACATTTTATGATTATGGAATTTGGCAAATGGATGTTAAAACTGCATTCCTGAATGGATTTCTGGAAGAAGAGTTGTATATGATGCAACCAGAAGGTTTTATCGATCCGAAAGGTGCTAACAAAGTGTGGAAGCTCCAGCGATCCATTTATGGACTAGTGCAAGCCTCTCGGAGTTGGAATAAACGTTTTGATAGTGTGATCAAAGCATATGGTTTTATACAGACTTTTGGAGAAGCCTGTATTTACAAGAAAGTGAGTGGGAGCTTTGTAGCATTTCTAATACTATATGTGGATGACATATTATTGAGTGGAAATGACATAGAATTTCTGGATAGCATAAAAGGATACTTGAATAAGAGTTTTCCAATGAAAGACCTCGGTGAAGCTGCTTACATATTGGGCATCAAGATCTATAGAGATAGATCATGACGCTTAATTGGACTTTCACAAAGCACAACCTTGGCAAAGTTTTGAAAAAGTTCAAAATGGATCGAGCAAAGAAAGGGTTCTTGCCTATGTTACAAGGTGTGAAGTTGAGTCAGACTCAATGCCCGACCACTTCAGAAGAGAGAGAAAAAAATGAAAAATGTTCCCTATGCTTCAGCCATAGGCTCTATCATATATGCAATGCTGTGTACCAGACCTGATGTGTGCCTTGCTATTAGTTTAGCAGGGAGGTATCAAAGTAATCCAGGAGTGGATCACTGTACAGTGGTTAAGAACATCCTGAAATACCTGAAAAGGACTAAGGATATGTTTCTTGTGTATGGAGGTGACAAAGAGTTCGTCATAAATGGGTATGTCGATGCAAGCTTTGACACTGATCCGGACGATTCTAAATCGCAAACCGGATACGTGTTTATATTGAATGGTGGAGCTGTCAGTTGGTGCAGTTCTAAACAAAGCGTCGTGGCGGGATCTATGTGTGAAGCGGAGTACATAGCTGCTTCGGAAGCAGCAAATGAAGGAGTCTGGATGAAGGAGTTCATATCCGATCTAGGTGTCATACCTAGTGCATCGGGTCCAATGAAAATCTTTTGTGACAATACTGGTGCAATTGCCTTGGCAAAGGAATCCAGATTTCACAAGAGAACCAAGCACATCAAGAGACGCTTCAATTCCATCCATGACCAAGTCCAGGTGGGAGACATAGAGATTAGCAAGATACATATGGATCTGAATGTTGCAGACCCGTTGACTAAGCCTCTCTCACGAGCAAAACATGATCAGCACCAAGACTCCATGGGTGTTAGAATCATTACTATGTAATCTAGATTATTGACTCTAGTGCAAGTGGGAGACTGAAGGAAATATGCCCTAGAGGCAATAATAAAGTTATTAATTATTTCCTTATTTCATGATAAATGTTTATTATTCATGCTAGAATTGTGTTAACCGGAAACATAATACATGTGTGAATACATAGACAATATAGTGTCACTAGTATGCCTCTACTTGACTAGCTCGTTAATCAAAGATGGTTAAGGTTTCCAAACCATAGACATGAGTTGTCATTTGATAAACGGGATCACATCATTAGGAGAATGATGTGATTGACTTGATCCATTTTGTTAGCTTAGCACTTGATCGTTTTAGTTTACTGCTATTTGCTTTCTTCATGACTTATACATGTTCCTATGACTATGAGATTATGCAACTCCCAATTACCGGAGGATCACTTTGTGTGCTACCAAACGTCACAACATAACTGGGTGATTATAAAGGTGCTCTACAGGTGTTTCCGATGGTACTTGTTGAGTTAGCATAGATCAAGATTAGGATTTGTCACTCCGATTGTCGGAGAGGTATCGCTGGGCCCTCTCGGTAATGCATATCACTATAAGCCTTGCAAGAATTGTGACTAATAAGTTAGTTGCGGGATAATGCATTACAGAACGTGTAAAGAGACTTGCCGGTAACGAGATTGAGCTAGGTATTGAGATACTGACGATCGAATCTTGGGCAAGTAACATACCGATGACAAAGGGAACAACGTATGTTGTTATGCGATTTGACCGATAAAGATCTTCGTAGAATATATAGGAGCCAATATGAGCATCCAGGTTCCGCTATTGGTTATTGACCAGAGACGTGTCTCGGTCATGTCTACATAGTTCTCGAACCCGTAGGGTCCGCACGCTTAACGTTCGGTGACGATCGGTATTATGAGTTTATGTGTTTTGATGTACCGAAGGTAGTTCGTAGTCCCGGATATGATCACAGACACGACGAGGAGTCTCGAAATTGTCGAGACATAAAGATCGATATATTGGATGACTATGTTTGGACTTCGGAAGTGTTTCGGGCAAGTTCAGGCATATACCGGAGTACCGGGGGGTTATCGGAACCCCCCGGGGAGTATAATGGGCCTATTGGGCCCTAGTGGAGAAGAGGAGGGGCGTCCAAGGCAGGGCCGCGCACCCCCTCCTCCTCTAGTCCGAATTGGACAAGGAGGGGGGCGGCGCCCCCCTTTCCTTCCCCCCTCTCCTCCTTCCCCCTTCTCCTACTCCTACTAGGAAAGGAGGAGTCCTACTCCCGGTGGGAGTAGGAATCCCCCCCTTGGCACGCCCTCCTCCTGGCCGACCGCCTCCCCCCTAGCTCCTTTATATACGGGGGCGGGGGGGCACCCCAAGACACACATTGATCATTGATCTCTCTTAGCCGTGTGCGGTGCCCCCCTCCACCATAATCCACCTCGGTAATATCGTAACGGAGCTTAGGCGGAGCCCTGCATCGGTAGCTTCATCAACACTGTCATCACGCCATCGTTCTGACGGGACTCTCCCTCGAAGCTCTACTGGATCATGAGTTCGTGGGACGTCACCGAGCTGAACGTGTGCATATCGCGGAGGTACCGTACGTTCGGTACTTGGATCGGTCGATCATGAAGACGTACGACTACATCAACCGCGTTCTCATAACGCTTCCGCTTACGGTCTACGAGGGTACGTGGACGACACTCTCCCCTCTCGTTGCTATGCATCACCATGATCTTGCGTGTGCATAGGAAAATTTTGAAATTACTACATTCCCCAACAAAAATCTAGAGTGGCAAAAAACAAAATTTTCCCGTTCCGAAACTCTTCCCTTCTTAATGGAAATGACAAGCAACATGTTGTTGCTTGTTCTTGAAAATAAATGTTCTACGTGCCATGGATCGAATCGATGCTAGTGGCCAACCATGCATCACACAACAGTTTATCCTCCCTCATATTGGAACTATCTTCTCTACCCCTCTTTTTTGGATCGGTCAGCCATTCCACCGGATCAAGGTCATCATCATGTCCTTCTATAGCTACACGGTGTGCGAGTCCGGTTTTTGGGTGTACGTACCCGGCCGCGTGACAAGTTCAGCGTACGTACCCGGCTGTTGGGCGTGCACCCCTGACTCTGAATCATCCACTTGTCCATCCTCGTAGCAACAGCTGTCGTGGATCATCTCAATCATCCTCATTTTCGCATCGTCACACGACGGCTCGCCCGGTTGAGACTTACCGGTGAACAGAGAGAGGACACTGAGCTGATCCACGCCAGATGTCCGTGATCGAACAAGCTGAGGCGATGGCGAGTCGAGAAAATGGAGCGGGTCCACGATGATGTTGACACAATATTGCACTACCCTAGGGCGAAGGCTGGAGACTGCTACTATCGCCCAAGCTGCTCAGTGGCGTAGAAGTAGGGCGGCTGATATTGCTCCGGCCAGTGTGGTGTGTGCATGGACGGCGGCGGCGCCACATGTCCCGGCCCCACCTAGCAACTACACCCTGGCCCCGCCCGCCACCTCCGTCACCCTTCTTTTTGCGGTCGCCCCATCCTTTGCCTTCTTTTTGAGGCAGCGGGCTTGTCATGTCGTCGAGTTATCTTCCGAGCGACCACCTTCTCTGGGTCCTCCACTTCCGCCGGCGTCGGCAACTCCTTGTGCGGGTCCATGCGGTGGCGGGAGCGAAAAGGACGAGAATTGGGGTGGAGTGCGGCGACGATCGGAAAGGAGAGGGTGGAGAACTGAAGGGTCTTGACGCGGAGACAATGCAGACCGCTCAAAATGTGGGCTCCGCCTACATTGTAGGTGGGCGGGAGGTGTTCGGGCCCTACGTGGCGGATGTCTGGGCTCCCGCAAAGCCTTTGGTTTGCTTCCGGTTTGCGAAAAAAAAGGGACACGCGGGCTGGTTCGCGGACAAATACATGACCTAGTTAAATGGCTTACAACGTTCAGACAATTGGGTCCGACTTATGCGTGTGATTTGAGGGTAGTAAGTGTCATCGGAGATGGATTACTTTCTCCACTCGGATTTTCTGTTCCGAATAATGATATGCACCGACGGGAGCATATTCATGAAATTGAATCACTGAAATTTTAGCTCTGTACATAATTTTGGCCTGATCATGCATGCTGCGCATGAAACTTGCATTTTCTTTTCGGAATAATGATATGCACACGTGACAGTCTCCAATGTGCCATTTCTCAAACGAGAAAGGAGACAAAGAAAAAGCAAGCAGCGACGAGAACAAACGACTGAAGAATCGTGGTGCCACGACTGACATTGTCACCGGTCTCATCGGCGTCGGCTTCCGTCCCACGCCGCCCAGGTCCATTACCCCAGCCGCCCACGTCCGGTTCCCCCAGCGTTAGCAGCCAAGCCAGTGGCCCCCAGCCGGCAAGCAGCTGCCACGGCGGAACCGTCTCCTCGCCTCCGTCGCCTGCGCCCGCGCCATCGGGAGATTCATCACCGGCCGGCATTGGCAGCTCCTGCCGGCAGACAGGGCAAGAGTTGTGGAGCCGGAGCCACGGCACGATGCAGTCGGAGTGGTAGGCGTGCTTGCAAGGCAGCTCGCGCGCGGTCTCGCCGATCTCGAACTCATCCTTGCACACGGGGCACTGCGAGCCGTCCGCCATGTGCTCCGGCGAGACGTGCACCGTCGGGAGCGAGTCGATCGCCGACGCCGGCGCGGGCGGCGGGCCGGGGCGGTCGTTCTGCGTCAGACCCTCGATGAGCGCGTTCAGGTTGGGGCCGGTGAAGAACCCCGCCTGGTCGATGCCGGTTGCCGGTGGACCGGCATCGGCACCGCCCAAGCCGCCGTGCGTTCCCGGGGCCGGCGGCGGGGACGGGACGCGGCGGAGACGTGGGCCTGGCGTGTCGGCCGCGTCGTCGTCGTCCTCGCCCCTGTATATGACCCAGTGGCGGGGGGCGCCCTCGTACGGGAACAACGGTGGCGGCTGGAAGAGCCGCTCGGTCGGCGCGTGCACGGGTTCGCGCGGCACGGGGAGCTCGATCTCGTGGAGGAAGCGGCCGAGGCAGCGCGGGCAGAAGACGTCGGAGGTCGGGGACGACACGGTGCGCAGCGCGCGGCGGCACACGTAGCACCAGTACAGGCGCCACCTCCTGCGCTGCCGCCGACGGGCGCCGCTCTCGCCGGGCGCTGACATGGCAGACGGCCGGTGGAGAGGTCGCTAGCGAGTTCCCCCGCCGTGCCTGCCGACAGAGGGTGCGTGCAACCACGAGGATGTGATGTGATCGAGGCAGGGATCATGTAGGGTGATGGTGGATCGATGGCACGACTTGGCGGGAAGGAATGGCGTTCGCTGGAAGATGGATACAGAATACGATTCTGGCTTGTGAGGTGGTATGTCATGTAACGCACGTTTACCTTCACTTCCTTCTCATGCTTGCAAAGTCGCGAGCCGCGAGCAACCGGCGGCGCAAAAGCTAACTGCGTGCCAACCCCGGGCTACAAGGCAACCAGTTGCAAATCGGTAGCACTTCACAACACACGAAGTGCTGTGCGAGAGTGTTCTTTGATCCGATTAATGCAGGGATCAAATTGTTTGATGGTATGAAATTCATGTATAGTACTCCCTTCGTCCGGAAATACTTGTCGGAGGAATGGATGTATCTATACATATTTTAGTTTTAGATTCATCTGTTTTTATGCATTTTTCCGACAAGTATTTCTGAACGGAGGGAATACTCGATAGCTGACACGAGTAACTTCTTTTCAAATTTCAGACAATTTGCACTTCTTCGTGTCAGCTATTTGTTTCTTTTAAGAGTGAATTCCATGTTTTACCCTGTAGTTGTACATTTGTGACACATGTTACCCCATTAAGTGAAACTTCAATCGAAATATCTGATTTTAGAGACTTTTAACACGGTTTTACCTCATTTTTTCATTTTTCTTATTTATGTTAGATAGGAACGGCATTGTCGCGTCAATGATTTGTAAAAATATGTGTAAAGATCAGAGGGCAACAATGATGATCATGTGTGAGACTTCTCTTGTCTATATGTTCCATTCCTCGTCGGCGTCCACATATTTTTGGTCCCCGGGCGTCACCTCGCACCTTGCCTGATGGACACGCACTAGAAAACGAGGGTCCAAAGCTTTCAAAAGGGATATTCTAGATAAATTTCCACTTGATAGGGTAATTGGTGTCTCAAATGTACAAATACAGGGTAAAAAGTGGAATCCATTCTTTTTTTAACACGATACAAATGCAGACGCTCATAAAAACGGAGCCGGCACATCATCTTGAGATTTACAAAGTCGCCAAAGTCGTCTTCGTAGTTGACTGAAATGTCTCCTTCCATTGGACGCACATCGCCGGAAGGCCTGAAATAAGTCTAAAAAATACGGGCACCGGTGTCAAGTCTAAAAATTAAACTCTAGTGGGCTGGGGATATCACCGTCCTCCTAACCAACCAACCAACCAACCACATGTTAGTTCATGTGTCAGCTATATGTTGACACTGTTGAAACAAAACACTAGGGTAGAAGGTGATCATGATAGATACAATTGTGCAGCAGCCGCACCATTTTAGTCTTCGCATGTGGCAACCTTACCACTCTCTCATCCATGAACATTATTTGTAAGTATGTGAATTTTTTTAAATGTAATTTTTAATTACACAAATAGTTCTTTTTTAATGGGTGAATACATCATAAAAAGTACATGAATATTTTTAAAATCGCAAAAATTTCTTAAATACAAGAACACATTCTTTTCATTATACATAAATAAATGCACAGACATTTTAAAAGGATATGCATATTTTTTCAAAAATACTTAAACATTTTTTTAAAATACACCATAAAATTTTAGAATTGTATATTTAATGTGTGTCTGTGAAATAAATATATTTTAAAAACTAAATGATCATTTTTTACATACATGTGAACATCAATAACATGAAAAAAATCAGATTATTTTAGCATTTTTTGTGTGTCAAATTGATGAAATAAAACATGTTGCGAAAAAATTATATATTTTGAGCGAATTTTCAAAAATAAAAAATTGCACCTTAGTTAATAGCCGCACTCATGGTATATTTTATCTCCGGTGTAGATGACTCCTGCATCCTGCTCACATCAATGTACATGTTCGCTTCTTTACAAACGAGACACACGCACACTCACCTCTAGAACGCATGCACACATACCCTACCCCAGTGCCATGGGCAGATTGCAGCCACGCCATGTGTCGATCGTAGAGCTACAGTGATCAACAGTGCCCAAAAAGTGTGACTGTTGCTACAGTCAACAAGAGGGAAGAGGCACCACGGTCCCCCTTGCATGGGGCTTGGCTACACCCCCTGCCTACCCCTATGAGCACCACCAAGACATTCAGCCGGTAGATTTTGAGATTGACGGAATCATCTCATGCACCACGGAGTCAACAGACACACCACTAGAGGTGATGTCCTTATTGACTAAAAAGCAGCGCGAAGCATTAAGAACAAACATTAGCGGCAGGACCGATTCTTTTTTCAAATGTCAAAATCGAACTTCCTTTTGAAAAAAGTGCATACTTTTTGAAATACGGACATTATTTTTTTAAAATTATTTATTTTGAAAATACAAAACTCATTTTTGAAAGGAGGTACATTGTTTAAAATTCCAAACAAACCTAAAAAACATGAGCATTTTTTGAATCACTGAACATTCATTAAACCTTGATCAACATTTTAAAACATGAATAGTTTTTGAATCTATGAACTTTATTTGGGAACAAGAACATTGTTCGAAACTCTAAACAAAATTTGAAAATGTGAACATTGTTAAATTTGCGAACATTATTTTTTTTGCAAAACAAGAACATTTTCTGAGAAAATTTACAAAAAATATTTTTTCCCTATTTCAAAAAATATTTGAAATCAGATTTTTTTTTTTGAAAATCTGGAGAAATTTAAGAAATGAAAAAAATAGAATCTCTAACATTTTTTGAAAAGGAAAAATAAACTTGAAAATAAAAGAGAAGAAACGAAAAAAGAAACAGACACCAAAACAAAAATGGGACGACTCACTCAGGGGCGCACCTCTGCGAAGCCCCGACTATTTGCCAAGGAATTTTCTCCAATCCCAAGCAATTTGAGGGTACAAATCTCTGGTTCATTAGAAAAGGATTCTATGGGGAGCTGCTAGGTATCGCTAGTAGCGAGCAAAGACCCCCTCATGGACCGGCCCATTCTGGAGGCTAGCGCTCGCGATGGAGCAGCTCCGGTTTTCCCTTGTTCTGTGGTGGCGGTCGACTGGTCCGACTTAATCGGTTGACCATTGACCACTGAATTTTTATTAAAAAAATGAGATTTTTCCAGACATAAGGAATTAAAAAGTCGTTCATGTATTCAAAAAAAGTGAAAGGATCTAGAAAAAAATGTTCGCAACTGAAGAAAAATCATCAATTTTGATGAAGAGTTCATATGTTTAAAAAGTCATCCGTTTTGAAAAGAAATTGACAAAAATTTAAAACTTCATCGAGTTTGAAAAAATTTCATCCATTTTTACAAACTTGAAACATATTCAATGAATTCGAAAAAAATCATCAATTTTATCAAAAGTTCATTAATTTAAAAAGAACACAAAAAATCATTTTTTTAAATCATCAATTTTTTATTTATTTTCATCCATTTAGCTGAAAAGTTACAAAATAGACAAAAGTTCAGCGATTGGAAAAAAGTTCATTGAAAGAGAAAATAAAAAGGAAAAGGAAAAACCAAACAAAATTGGCCCAGAAAAAAACCATATAAATAAACCTGGCTTAGAAGCTTATGGAAACTTCCCAAAACCGGGCTGGAAAGCTTCCGGAATCGTCCCAAAACCTACGATTGAACTCTTGGGATACCTTTTTATTTGTCTGCCCACGTAACATCGATGGAGGACGGGGGTGTGCGCCCGTTTGCACCAACTCCTTTAACCAGCACAGCAGGCAGCAAATAGGATTACCTTTAGAGTCACTTAACTCGCTTGATTTGCCCACTCGACATTAGCTCGGCCCCGGAAGCACAAGCAAAGCTAGCGATAGGGTGCATATCTGTTTTTATTTATTTTCGTATCATTTTTTTTATTTTCATCAGTATATTTTTAATTTTAAAAAAATTAATGTACACAAATAAATATTAGGAAATCAAAATATATCCAAGTGATTTTTAAAATGTTCGTGAATTCAAAATAATTTCGCAGAATACAAAATGCTCTTGAAACAATAAATTGGTTCGCACTATTATAAAACTACATAATACCCCACACGCTGCTGCGGGAATCAATTGCAATATATTTCAGTGATGATTGTATGAAGCTTTCATCGTTGAATTAATAATATATGCGCGTTGCTGCGGGAACCGATTGCAACATATTTCAGTGATGACTGTATGAAGCTTTTATCGTTGAATTAATAATATATGAACTAAAGCTAAAAATAAATACTATATATTGTATTTGATTATTGTGTTGTCAGAATTTTTTTTGAATACAAGTAGCATAACGTAATGGAAAAAATTTCCCATGCATGTTGAGTGGACTTCTGATGAGGTGCCATGTGTGTGAGGTTAAAGGTGTGCATGAGATCAACTAATAATGATTTTTTTTCTCATGCATGTAGTGATGGGCCTTTGATGAGGTGGCATATGTGCATGTTGAGATAAATAGGATGGTGGGGATTAACTTCTTATGCATATAGGACTATCATGAATTTAGGAAAATGTCAATGCAATAAAAGTATATTGCCAAGATAAAAATAATGTTCACGCATGCAAAAAAAATAATTTTAAAAAATTGATTACAAATTTAAACAAAATTATTGAATTAAGATAAATGTTCTACATTTTAAAACTAAATAAATATTATATACCTTCATGTATTCAAAAAATGGTAGTGGATATTGGAAGAAATGTTAATAAATTATAAAATAGTTCATAAAATTGAAATATTCGGTTAATAAAAATCTGTTCAGGAATTTGAAAAACTATCACGAATTCAAAAAATGTTTGCAAATTTAAAAAATATTTAAGATTCAGAATACATCCACAATTGTTAACATGCTCAAGAACTAAGAAATACTCATGAATGTTTATGAATACGAAAAATTTCTGTCGTGTGATTTTATTTGTGAATACGAAAAAGTTCATGCATTTTACAAAATCCATGATTTTT